GGGACCACTGTGGAAAATGAACTGACATTGCAGGCAAGAAGGCCATGAGGTAAGAAGAAAAAAATTGAAGAACCAATCATTTAAAAAAAAAAAGACAAATACAACTAAATGTGTCCCCGAAAGACTAGGTAGACTATAAGGAAGGCAAAGAGCTGCCTAAGACCTACAAATATTTTCCCACGGCTATTGAAGAGGAAGATTTAGAAGCGATGCCTAAGTATATCAGCTCATTTCTGAGTTGAACAGTCAGAGTGCACCTGCCATGGTGCAGGGTGGGCAAGGTTGGCAAGAAGAGCTAATGACGTCATCAAGCTTGCAAGTTCATATAATTCCAGCCAACCACAGACGTGAACCAGAGTAAGGTGGCGAGGCAGGACATAATGGTGGCGACACATGGAATGTTCAAAGGAATGTCAGACTTGTCTGCCTTAATCTTTCCCTGTGTATACACATCTTTTTTAGACTTGCCATTTTGGTTGTGTGGTAAGATGTATAAGAGTAGATTATATAAAGTGTGTATGTCTAATTGTCACGTTGTTTTTATTACCTAGGTAGATGGTAGCTCCTCTGATGAGTAGATATGATTCGTTGATTAAAATGATTAAAACAGGGTTTAGTTCGCATAACTTGAACTAACATGGCTGATTTTTTTGCTTGAGAAAGCTATGCATGCATTTTAATCTAAGTGAGAAAATTCATGATCAATAGGATATAAAATGTGAAACAGCTTAGTATGTTTGGTTCTCGCTGTGGGGAGTGTATCCATTCATATGTGCAGTATGATGTTTAATACAGCCGTGGGATGCCACCATTCACTTTTACATGTATCCCAGCTACAGGAGCATTGTCCTGTCTTCCCACTCTGTATTAGGGACTGCTACTGTGTGAATGTGTCCATGGAAATCCATGTGGTGAAAATTTAATTCCTGGTAATGATGTTGGAAGGCAGTACCTAACAATAGGTAATCGTGAATGGGTTAATGCTGCACAGAAGAACTTAAGGCTTGACGTTTTTCTCTCTCCCTTCCTCTCCCTCTCCTCTCTCCCTTCCTCCTCTTCTCCCTCTCCCTTCTTCCCTCCATTCCTCTCTTTCTTTCTCTCTCTCTGCTCTTCCCCCCATATTCCTTCTTCCCTGAGGTAACACAACACAGAGGCTTGTCAATCAATGCTGGCTCCTTAATCGTGGATGTTGAGCCTCTATCATCATGAGCCAATCAGTTTCTCTTTATTATAGACTTCCTAGACTACGTTATCCTGCATTTAAAGCACACAGCTTCTCCCAGGCTCTGGAGCTTACTTTGCACGTGGTTTTCTTCCATGCACTCTGCAGGCATCTATAGTGGAAGTCTTCATGGAAAGCCTCTTCCAAACACTCAACATGATAACAGCATTGCTCCTCCAGTCACTTGTGGCCTCACAGTACTGTGCTGGCTCCATCCAAGTATCTGTTATGACAAGAACGGTGGAGCTCACCACCTTGCCTTTTACTTAGTCAGCTCCTTCGCTTATAGCAAAACCACCACAGGCCCTGAGGCTACAACAGGCATTTTCTTTATGGTTCTGGGGGCTGGGAAGTCAAGATCAAGGTTAGATGCTGGTTTGCAAATGGCTTTCATCTTGCTGTGTCCTGCACATGGTGAGGAAGAGGAAGAAGAAAAAGGCAACAAGTGGAGGGGAAGGGAGGAGAGGGGAAGGGAGGGAAGGAGAAGAAATGTAAGTACACTTCCATCTATTGCATGTACTAACCACGTCACAAGCCTCCACCCTTGTGCTATGATCAGCCCCTCCAATCTCTGCTTTATAATAGGGCTTGATTTAGCAATTTGGGAGGGTTCCAGGGACACCTTTTACAGTTAAGACTTTTGCTTCCTGAGTTGTAAGATGGGAAGAGACTCTCAAAGAGTGGGTGTGAGTGCTGCTCTGTCCCAGGGCCTCTGTTGCTGTGGAAACTCCAGTACTTTTTCAGGTCTTTTCTTCTGCTTGCCTGGGAAAGGAAGGTTGTACACATCTGAGAATCATAGGTTTCCTAGGCATCTTGTCTTAGACTACTTTCCTTTCTGTGGCAGAGAACCCTGACCTAGGGGTTTATGAACAAAAGAAATGCATTTCGCTCATGGTTGTATGGGATGAGAAGTCCTAGTCTGAGGACTGCATCCAGCAAAGGTCTTTGTCTGAGTTAGGTTTCTGTGATAAAACACCATTGCCGCTGTGATAAAATACCATGACCAAAAACAACTTGAGGAGAAAAGGGATTCCTTCGGCTTATGTCACACTCCATCTCTGAAGGAAGTCAGGCCAGGACCTCAAAGCAGGGACCTGAGGCAGGCACTGAAGGAGAAGGCATGGGGAAGGGAGGGGGTGCTGCTTACCATCCTGCTCCTCATGCCTTGCTCAGCCTGATTTCTTCTAGCATTCAAGACCACCACTCCAGGGGTGGCACAGCCCACAGTGATCTGTGCCCTCTCACACCAGTGTGGTGGGGCTTGTTTTATATTGAGGTCATCTCTTTTCAAACGATTGGCTCAAGTCAAGTAATTGTGAAACTAGGCTGCCCAGTCTTCTTGTTGGGTCTTCCTAATTAGAAGACTGGAAGAGCAGGAGACAGACAAGAGTGAGCTGCTTTTAAAAAACACTCACTCTTGCAATACTTCTGTCCATTCGTTCTGGGGACAGTAACACAATGACCCGGAATAGGTCCCACCTTTCACACTGCAGTATCGGGATGAAGTTCCCAAGTGAACTCTGGGGACACATTCACACCATATCACCTTTCTGCCATTCATCTTCCCACTGCTCGTTCTTGTTTTGAAAACACCCTCCTTCTTCCAGCCCCAGAGCCCGCCTGACGATGTTCAGCAGCCAATGGAGCCTCTACCTCCAATGGTGACAGGTGGCTAGTGTCTAGTCTATCCTCATACATAGTCTAGAAACAGTCCTGTTATGAAAACTGCTCTCCCCAATTCCACTCATTTCCCAGATATCTCCCAGATATGTCTCTGTATGCTATGCCCTTGTGCAAAAGTGTGATCTCTGAGTCTCAGGAAATTTTATGCATCAGCCGTTTCCTTTTTGGGCCAAGGCATACCCATGGGGCAGCGATTGGGATGGAAGGCACTGAGCTAGACTGGTCTGCCAAAACAACAGGACCGTGTTCCATCAGTGATGTGGTCTCAGGAAAGTTTCCTATTTTGGATGAATAAAAGCCTGTCTTGTCAAACCAGGTCTCGGCAAAGTGGAAAAGCTTTTCTTCTATCCCTCTGAATGCTGAAGGCCAGGTTGTTTCCATAGATAAGCATAGATGTTGCCTGGCTGGAGAGATGGCTTCGTAGTTAAGAGCACTGGCCACTTTCCGAAAGGACCCTGGTTCAATTCCCAGCACCCATGTGGCGTCTCACAATTGTCTGTAACTCTGGTTCCAAAGGATCCAACACCCTCACATATGCAGGCAAAACACCAATGCACATAACATAAAAATAAATAAATCATTGAAAAATATAGACTCAGAATGGTAGAACTAAGGATAGAATGCCTTAAGTTCTATTTTTAATAGAAATCAGTGTAATTTGACTGAGAGCACATTGTTCTCTTAATTACTCATCTCTCAAGTCTCCCTTGGAGGTATTTATTCACTGTCTTGTGTGTCTTCCTCGATAGAAGACATTCCTCATGAATAAATAAGATGAGGACAAGAAAGGGCTTCATTCAGTGTTAACTGGATGCCAAACTCATGCTCAGTTCCTTATTTGGGTCAGGTCACTTGCTCATAACGAAAGTGCTGGCAAGTGTTCCTAGCCTCTTTTTATACATGAAGAAAGGGCAGTTGAAAGACGTGAAGTCTCTTGCCCAATGCCAAAGAGGTGGTAAGTGTAGATTTCGGACTAGAGCTAAGTTATACAGATTTTCATATAAAAGTAGGATTCTAGCTTTAGTGGGAGGGGCTGGAGCAGGCATCCTTACAAATCCTTCTGTGTCTTTGGATCTTATTGATCATGAACACTGGGCGTAGAGACAATGGAAGTAGTTTCTTACTGTCCGCACCAGTGAACTTCAGTGAAACCAGGAGAAGAAAAATGCCTGTTCATCAAACTCACTGCTTCTAAACTGTAATTTAGGTTACCATAAGGTAAATTACACGAAAACGCAGCTTCGCGGATAAAAGATCCATTGTCCGGGAAGAATAGTTTTGGTGGATTTCCATGCTTTCTGAATAAACATAAGCCAAAAGGTGCGTTCTTCTGGCTGAGCCCATGCATTCCTCCATGCACGAGCATCTTTTATTAATCACGGGAATGACTTTGTTGCTTTGCATGTAACAACAGACCCCTCCTGGTGTTTGTTTAGGTGGGCATTGGTGGCAGTGGTCTGGTTGGTATGGGCAGTTTAACTTGATTAGAGTTCCTTCATGTGAGAATGACCAGCTCATTTCTTATCTCCGTGATACGTGGAGGCAACCGCAGAATCTGAAGTGCTCAGTAGGTGTGAGGGTTAATCGTCATGTAAAGATATGTTTTGGTATCACACCCCTTCTGGGCTCTTTAAAGCTTTATCTTGTGCAAACTGAGAAATGTTAGTGTTTCTCATCTAAGTTCCAATAATGCTTTTTTTTTAAAGCATATGTGCATTGGTTGAGGTTCCTTTTAAAATAGCATTAAAAGAATGTATATGTCTATTTGTACATCACACACATGAGAGAGAGAGAGAGAGAGAGAGAGAGAGAGAGAGAGAGAGAGAGAGAGAGAGAGAGAGAGACCCATTGGGGAAGAGGTTTTTTGGCATCACTAGACTGTACACTTCAACCAGGTCAGATCACTGTGAATATCATAGGGTCTCTCACTCTGAGACTGTTTTGCCCATCAAACAGCCACAGAGGGCATTGCCAGTGACTGTACCAAGTTGAACCATGTGTTTTTCTCCATGTCCCGTCTTCTCATTTCAAGAAACTTTAAGTCCGCCTTCTGTGTATGAAACCCACAGACATCGCCCTCTTTCACTTTTTCCAGGCAACAAGGGCTGCCATCACTCAGCACTGCACGGACCTGGGAGAGTTGCTGGGCAAGGAGAATGATGTAGCCCTCATCATCGACGGCCACACCCTGAAGTACGCCCTTTCCTTTGAAGTCCGCAGAAGTTTCCTGGACCTGGCGCTCTCGTGCAAGGCGGTCATCTGCTGCAGGTGAGAACACGTAGGCTGGGCCCAGTCTGCGAGCTTGGTGTGTCTGCGCTGTGGGCTTCTGGAGGAATCGAGGCACAGGGACTCTAGGCTTCAAATTCTACATTAAAAGAAATGGACAAAGCTAAACAAAGACAGGAGTTTCTCTTTGACCGTTGATTCGTAGGTTTTTGATCAAAGCAGCAGGTGGCTTTTGCGCTTTTGTTTCTTGGCACTCCGTGGGGTGGTGGCATGTCCATTCAGGGTGGGTCTTCCCTCCCCACTTAAAGCTCCCCGAAAACACATTCACAGACACACCCAAAGACGTGCTTAATTATAACAATAAGTGTTTCTTAACCTAGTCAAACAGACAATTAGAATCCATCATTGCACCCCCCAACTGAAAGTCCTCATTGGTTCTTTATGGCATCCGAGAAGACTTTTGAGGGTGGATGTTGCTAACATTCCATTGACAACATATAACATGGAGGTCCACTTCTCTAGTAGGAGGATAAGAGGCCACCATAGGTAAAGGGCCCTTGACAGCCAGAAGAGCGACAAGCATGCTGGGAACCCGGTCTTCTGTTGTCTCTTATTGTGTCTAAGATGCGCAGTTGCTAAGTGGGTGGGACCTGTCTTCCATGGGTTTTTCAAGACTTGGAAGTTATTATCGTTCTACCTGATCCATAAGTACTGTCTGGTCCCTTTCCGCCTGCTGCTTGCATTGTTCATCAAGAAACAGCTTGTCAGTGGCTGAAGCAAACAGTGGAACCAGCCTAGTAAACTGCAGCTCAAAACCAGCACACTAACCCCTTAAAGAAGCTTTCACGGGCCAATCAAAAATGTGTCCGTCTGGGTCTCCAGACTGCGGGAATAGGCTCCCTCCTAGCTGCTGTGTACTGCTGCATACACATCCGGCTGCTGTGTACTAAGGAAAACACCGTGTCTTCTCGCTTAGGCTGCCTTCACCTGGCTTTGTGTGTCCCACAGGTGCAAACCTTAGGTTGGCACAGGAAAGAGCTCCAACTTCAGTAGGCACTGAGAGCCAATTTCACATTAAATACAGTGACCATCTCCTACACAAAAGTGTCCATCAGAAAAATCCGAAGGGGTTTCCAGCATCCCTGCTCTCAGACATTTCTTGGCCGATGTCACACCTCTGATTTAAAAATGGCAGTAACAAAAACTGAATACACACTTTATAAACAAAACGTTCAGTTGCTTCGTCTGTGTTCAGAATTGTGAGCCAAATTTCACGTGTGACTTCCCACAGAAAGTTGGGCTTATGTCATCTTCCATGTTTAAAAGATAATCATTTTGAGTCATTCTTTTCTCGAAACACAGAAGAAAAAGTTCTGTTTTTTTTTTCCTCAAAAAAATAATTTTCTGGGAAATCATTATGTATTTTCTTATCAGTATGGATTTTTGTAGATGGTTGAATGTTGCATAAGAATTATAATGTAATATAAAAATTCCCTTAAACTAAGATTTAAGTAGTGAGAAGAGGAATCTCACCCACCCCCACAGGTCCCCAGGGAGCCCAGCCACTCTCAAAGATCTCATCTCTACACTGAAAAATGTCCCTGTATTCCAAAGGCAGTAACCCCATAGAAACCCCCTCCAACCAAGCACATGGGGATGCCACTGTAGTCCCAGATACTCAGAGAACTGAGACAGGAGGATTGCTTGAGCCAAACAGATCAAGTCAGTTTGCAGAGATGTGCAAAACCCATCTCACTCTAGGGTCCTCTTTAGTGATGTCTTTGGACATTCAAGTGTGCCTGCCTCAACCGATACACGCTCAAATACCCGCTCCGTAATATTTAGCTAAATGGGAATAAATTTGTCTTTATTTATATAATTTTTGACCTTGGAAGTCTATTACATATTTTGATTAAATTATACTCAATTTTGATAATTACAGTTTGCTGTACTCCAGTATTTTCTACGCAGTTAAAAACTTAACAAGGGCCTTTGTAGTCAGCAGGATGGATGCCATTCAGTTTCCTGTCGGGATTCTTAGATGCTGCTCTATTGCTTGTTGACCCTGTAAACCTCCACCTAGAGACAACTGCAGTTGTAGGTTTGATATTTGCACTGTACATTCTGGGTGTTGTGAGAGAATTGAAGATGTGTGAGCTCTGCTCTTCCAGGTCAGGGTGTCTTAGCGTATCGGTGTTACTGCCTTGCATCTGCCTTACATCCCTGGTCTTGGGCTCCGGCCTTCAGTGAGGCTGTGGTGTCACACACTTCCCCTCGTCAGTTTCTCATTTGACTTCTAGTTCCTTTTCCCATTTGTCGTTGATGGTGTGTCCTGTTTTGCTTCCCTATTGCCTTGATGGAACAGTTGATGGAACCTGACTTGGGGAAAGGGGTTTATTGGACTTACGGTCACAGTCAATCATCAAGGGAAACCAAAGCAGAGACCCTGGAGGAACGGCGTTTAATCCCTTCCGTTTGTCATACAACCCAGGACCACCTGCCCAGGGGTCCCATGCCCTACAGTGGACTGGGCCCTCCCCATCAATCATTAATCACGTAAACGCCTAATGGACTTGCCCACATGCCAATTGGAGATAATTTCTTCAACTGAGGTTCTTTTTTTCCTGGTGACTCTAGTTTGTATCAAGTTCACAAAAACTAACTAGTACGTAATTTCTCCATCAAAATTAATTGTTGTTTTCATTGTTGTGTGTGAGAGCAAGAGAGGGGTGGGCGGTTGCTTGCACCGCAGTGCACCTGTCAAGGCTAGTGGATAAGTCCATAGAGTCTTTTCTCGCACACCTTTACCTGGATTCTGAAGCTGGATCTCAGGTTACCAGGCTTGTGCAGCAGGCAGGTGAGCCATCTTACTGACCACTGATGGCTCCTCCCCGAGGTGGTTTGCTTTTTCTATTTTTGTGACATCTCTGTCACCTCCCTATATATCCTGCCGTGTCTGCTGTATTTCTGGAAGCCTCTGGATATTTCCCAGAGCTTTGGTCACAGAGCCTGTGATGGCCTCATCTTCGTCTCTTCTCCCTACATGTGTCCCCCACATCGGTCTCAGCTTTGCAGAGAACCATCCAGAGAGCTTTACAGGGTGGGGTGTAATGGGGGGAGTGTTCTAATGCAAATGTGCCAAATGATGAAGCCATTTTATTCCTAGGAATAAACACAAAAGAATTCAAAACAGGTACTCAAGCAAAAGCTCATATACATGTATTTAAAGTAGCATTGTTCATAATAGCCAAACTGTGTATACAACTCAAATGTCCATCGGTTCAGAAGTGGAGAAGAAGAATGGGGTCTATCTGTATAATAGTATTCAGCCGTAGAAAGAAATGAGGCCCTGATACATGCTGCAATGTGAGGAACTCCAAACCTATGCCTGGCAAAGAAAGTGGATTGCAAGAGGTGGTATATGGTGCTATTCAAACCCTATGGAATATTTGTAGGGGACAAACTCATAAGCTAAGCAGCTAGAAGTGAAAAAGAGGGAAGCTGCTTCATGAGTGCAGACTTGGCTTTTGAAGTTGGTAAAATGTTCTGGATCTACATGCAGAGGATGGTTGTGTTGTGATTATGCTAAATGCTATTAGATGTTTATTCTTTAATGTGGGTAATTTTCTAAAGATTCGTATGTGTGTGGTACCTGCAGAGGGAATCTTATCTCATGGAGCTGTGGTTACGGGCAGTTGTGAGCCACTCAACATAAGTAAGAAGCCAGACTCAGGTCTTCTTGAGAACAGCAAGAGTCTTAACTATGGAGCCACCTTTCCAGCCCTGAAAGGGTGAATTTTATGTTCTGTGAATTTTTATCACAATAAAATCTGTAACTTGTGAATAAAAGAATTTACCTAATTAAATTAAATTTCACTAAGTTAAAAAGAATGAAACATAGGTCAAGTGAAAGAAAAAACCGTTCCTAGGCCATCCCCCCCCCCCCCCCCCACACACACACACAGAGGAAGCAGCCTAAACCTGAGAGCTTTACAGATTGTGATGGGCAGTCAGGACCGGGGGAGCCTTTTGTTGATATCAGTAGATACAGCTTCACACACAAGTTAGGAACCTTTTGCAAGACTGAGCCAAATACAAAGATTATGAAATTGAGGTCAGAAATTCAAGTAATTTCATCTGTCATTCCTTAACAAGCATCACGTTTGGTTTTTGGGTTTTTTTAACAAATGAGTAAATAAAAGCCTCAAAAATTGTTTTCTTGCACATGGTCTGAGATAGCAAGAAGACCCTGTGGCATGGGGAGCGATCTGACTAATGCCGGGGCCTATCTAGCTGGCTGTGCCTGTTACTTCAATCACACGTGCATAATACTGTCAGTGTTCACAGTTTCTCTAACAGTTTACCCAGTTCAGGGCTCTCCCCTTCTAGTTTCCGAGGATTTGTGGCTCTCCAGAGGGAGAATGTTGTAGAGAAAATGTGTAAGCCATTTTCATGTGTGCAAGAACGACTTCTCTGTTTTCTCTTCCCCCCTTTCCCCTTTTTCTTTGAAGCTCTTTGTTTCTTGTCAAAATGGAAATAAATTTCATAGCAGAGACTAGTGGGGGGTGGGCAGACTTTCGGCCTCCCGGGAACATGCAGAAACGTTAAGTGGCTATGTCTCATCAGGAAGAGAGTCGTGAAAGGCCCATCAGTGTCTCCCATGTGAGGAAGTTAGCAATGGCCCCTCCACAGACCCCGGCAAGAGCAGGTGACGATGGTGGTCCCTCAGCAGTGCCTAGTTAGCCAGGGTGATGGATGACTCCAAGTGTCTGGGCAGGAGATGAAGTGGAGACGAGGCCCACAGTGGGGTTCACTGTGGACGTGCGTGGCAAGGATAGCAGAGGTCGTCATTTATATTCCTGCACGTGTTTAGACTTCCGTCTCTCAGGATAAATTTAAAAGTAAACATGAAAAACCTGGTGGGAAGCCACAGAACAGAGACAGCAGTGAGTACCACAAGACGCACTGCATGTCTTTCTAGACTTTGGAGGTTTCTTTCCCTACCTAAGAATTATTTATATTTCTCATAGAAAAGAAAATTA